CAATGGTACCCCATGCGCTCCCCCAGGAGGTGGGCGTTGTTGAGGATGTTGTGGTGCGTGAGCGTCGCTCCCTTTGGCTGCCCCGTGGTTCCCTGGGGGGGCGGGGGGACGATATGGGGAGTGGGAGGGGAGAGGCATGAACCCGCACTTGGCCCAACGATAGCCTGCGTGGGCTACGTGGGGCACCTTTGTCTTTGTCAGCGTTGCTGCTGCTGCGCTCATACTAAACTGGTGGTGGTGATGGTGGTGGGTTTGATGGTGGTGATGGTGGTGGGGTTGATGGTGGTGATGGTGGTGGGGCTGATGGTGGTGGTGGGGTTTATGGTGGTGATGGTGGTGGTGGGGTTTATGGTGGTAGTGTGGTAGTGACGGTGGTAGTGTGGTGCTGATGATGATTATGGTGGTGATGGTGTTGATGATGTTGGTGTTTATAATGGTGGTAGTGGTGATGACGGTGGTGGTGATGGTCATACACGGGGAGCGGTAGTGAAGCGGTTGATGTGATGCGCTATGAACCTGCCGACCCGAGTTCGATTTCTGCTCACGGCCAATGCCGGTGAGGAAAATCTAAATTGGTCCTGGGCCTCCCCTAGGTCGACTAGGCCTCAAATAAGTACCTGGTGCAGTGTGTAGTAAATTAAACTCCAAACTACCAGGTAAGGGCCCACTGAGCTACGCAGCTCTTTTTCAGAAGTGACCTGGCCACAATTAATAGCTCAAGGAAGTGGCCTACCACATGCTTCAAATCGCTTTAAACTATTGTCATTGTAGTGCGTATTTAATGTGGCGCTGCACTCTGATGTTGTAGGAGAAAACATTTATTAAAAAGTCTATTTAATTAAGTAAAACGTGTTGTGTATATTTATTTAAAGTTGCGCATTTTGATGTGACGTCACATTTCTCAACCCCACCCCCCATCGTCACACATCGTCACAAATGTCTGACCCCCCCCCCTAGGTGCGTGACGTCATTTATGGATGGCCCCTAAGGCCTCCAGTTTGGAGATTAGGATGGAGGGCAGTATGGTATTAGATGCTGAGCTGTAATTGATGAACAGCATTCTAACATAGTTACCCTGCTTCACCTCCAGGTGGCACAGTGCCTTATGCAATTGTAGTGGTGATACGCGCTGGGGTAGGGATCGTGTGCCAGCGCCTAGTGATTGGCTGTGTATGTGGTGACGCGCGCTGACGGTGGAGGATCAGGGGTCAGCGCGGGGTCGTGGGTTACGTGGTGCTGATTGGCTGTGTGCCGGTGACGCGCTGAGAGGGAGTGATCGGGTGGCAGCGCGGTGTGATTGGTTGAGTAGTGTTAACACGCGCTGGGGAAAACGGATCGTAGAGATAGCGCGTCGTCATTGGTTAACTAAGGAGCGATGCTCACGTCGACGTCCGCATCAGCTCCGTCTCCCGTGAGCAGGGGCTATAAAAGGGGATGCACACAGGCGTAAAGGCAGTATGTAACCAGTGAAGAATGAAGACGGGGATGAAGAGATAGGGCCCTGCGGTACCTAGTCCCGCTGTCCTAACGGGATCGGGACTCTGTGTAACCCAGAGGCGAATGCATTGTGTGTAGCCATAGGCATAGGGTCTACACGAGTCGAATGCATGGTGTGTAGCCATAGGCATAGGGTCTACACGAGTCGAATGCATGGTGTGTAGCCAGAGGCATAGGGTCTACACGAGTCAAGTGCATTGTGTGTAGCCAGAGGCATAGAGTCTACACGAGTTAAGTGGAGTGTATAGTCAGAAGAATAGAGACCACACGTTGTATTGTGACACGTCAAGATTTAATAAAAGTGTGTTACCCGTCAAGAAGTTCCTGCCGTCATTTCCAATACTTCAACTGGCGTCAGAAGTGAAACGGTCTTCCAAGCATGGATACAAGGAAGACCCGTCGGACCCACGGGATTGACCGCGGGGACAACCTTGACGACTCGGGCCAGCTGGCATCGGGGGGTGAGGACGAAGAATTGCCCACGCTGCAGGATCCGCCGACGGCGCCGGACGAGCGACGGGGGACCGATGCCGTGCTCTGCGAGGCGCACTCCCGTCTGGCGGAGCTGCTGCTCGCCGCCGCGTCCATCCTGGCGGAGATCAGCTCGTCGGGAGGAGCGGGGACGGCGGCGGACATTCTACAGGGTCGCCCCGCAGATTCCCGCCAAAATGACTTAGCGATTCCCGCCATTTCATCTGCGCCGACTTTTGGCGGGAACGGACACCACCACGTGGCAGCGGTTCTCCAAGCGCGCCCGCTTACGTCACCAACGCGCGCTGCGGACCGCCATCAGACACCCGCCACTGGGGCTGCCATCTTACACACCGACGGGGCGGCGGAGAGGAACCACGAGGCGGAGGACGACTTCATCTTTCAACAGCGCCTTCCCACATTGTCAGCCTTCAAGGCGGAAGGCGGGGACTGGGGCCAATTTCAGCGCAGGTTTTTGGCGCTGCGGGCACTGCCTGCCATGCTGGACGACAACGCGCTCGCGGCCTTCACGTCCGCACGCAGGTCGGACCGCTCCACGCTCAAGGATGCGCTGGCTCTCATGGCCAAGGTCTACGGTCCTCCCTCGGCGTGTCGCCATCATTTTTACGCAAGGCGGAAGGCAGACACGGAGATCGTGCTCGCCTATCGCACGGCGTTGCTGGCTCTCGCCGACGCCGCGTTCCCTCGTATGGACGAGGAGGGCCAAGATGCGATGGTTTTGGAGCAACTGCTCAAGTTGGCGCAGGACCTGGGGGTCCCCATCAACACGGCCGACGAGATCGATATTTCTTCCTTGCGGGTCGCTACAAGTATACAAGCGCACGAGGTCCTTCAACGTAAACAGGGGGTCGTCTGCAACGCTGCCGTGGCCTCAGCTCCGGGCCCGGTAGTCACCGAACCCCAAGTCGTCAGCCCACGAGAGGAGGCGTTCACCGCGGGACGACCGGGGGACTGGAGGTCGGGGGGTCGTTCGCCTCTGCGATCGGCCCGCAAGCTGGAGCAACCGAGATCTCCGACGACTCTCATCACGTGTTATAACTGCGGCCTCCGGGGCCACGTGGCGTCCGGTTGCCGCGCCCCACGTCAGCGCGCCATGGGACCTCGGCTGGACGACGAACAAGGCCCCAAGTCATCCCTACAAACCCCGGCAAGTCGCGGCACCTCACATGCTCGGCCCGCATACTCGACACGCATGGGCCGTCGCGTTGCGGCGGAGGAGAGCCGGTTAGGGTTCGGGGATTCGGTTCGGCGAGGGGGGTTCGGCCGGGACCGGGGAGACATTAAATGGTCGGAGTTGGGGCACAGAATAGTGGCTGCCTCAGCGGGTTCATCCGTCGTTACGGGATCTATTGATGGGGTCGAGGTCAGGGTGTTAGTGGACACGGGGGCATCGGCGACTATTATATCGGACCTCATTTACAACATTCTCCCTGTACAATGTCGTCCGCTGCTTCCAGTGGATGTGCCATTTTACGCCGCTAATGGGGGATCGTTGGGCATTATCGGTCAGATTAGGGCGTCCATTTGCATTGGAGATATCAAATTGTCGGGACCCGTTTTCGTTTCGTCCTCCCTGGCGGTTCCTTGTCTATTGGGCACTGATTTTTTGGCAAAAATGCCCATCAAAATTCTCATTGATCAGCGTTGCATTGAACTACCATCGGGTCGCCGTATTTCATTTTTGACGAACCCTACTGAAATTCGGACGGCGTGCGCTACGATACAAGCGTTAGCAACACAGACCGTGCACGTGCCCCCGGGTTCACAAATGTTAATTCCCCTCCGGTTGCGGAAACCATGGGTGAGGGAGACCTCGGATCAAGGCATGCTTTTGGGTCCTTCTAATAGGGCTGTTGGAGGTCTCGATTTGTCGGTGGCTCACACTTTGGTTGGGGCTGACAGGGATCCGTTTGTGATGGTGTTAAACGCTGGGTCGCGGCCGGCCGTCATTCAGCAGGGCACCGTGCTAGCTCACGCGGCACGGGTCCTTGCGGAAGAGCGGCTGGTTGCGCAGGCTGATCCGAGCCCCACGCAAAATGTTAAACCAAAGGAGGACCTCGAATGGGTCGATTCGCTGTGCGCGGACTCTGACGATTTGTCAGCGGTACAGTTAGGTGCGCTGCGCGGGTTGCTGATTGAATTTTCGGATGTGTTCAGTAAACATAAGTATGACATTGGGTGCACGGACCTGTTACGCCACCACATTGAAACGGGCGATGCAGCACCGGTCAGGCTAAATCCCTTCCGACTGAGTCCTGCTGAGAAGGAACATGTTCAGTCGGCCGTTAACGATATGCTAGAAGCCGACATTATTTCGCCTTCTTCCAGTCCTTGGGGAGCACCTATTGTGCTCGTTAAAAAGCAGGACGGGTCCTTGCGATTTTGCGTAGATTTCCGCCGCCTGAATAAGATCTCTGTGGCCGACGCGTATCCGCTCCTCAGGATGGACGAGTCCCTCGATGCATTGTCCGGTGCGCGATACTTTTCGACTCTTGATTTATTATCCGGATTCTGGCAGTTGCCACTCGACGAAGAGTCTAAACCTAAGACAGCATTTCGGACTCCAGGGGGCCTGTTTCAGTTTAACCGGTTACCCATGGGACTTCACTCCTCTCCTGCGACGTTTCAGCGCCTTATGGAGTTGGTTTTGTCGGGCTTGCAATGGGATACGTGCTTGATTTACCTTGACGATGTCATTGTTTTCAATAAAACGTTTGAGGAACACCTCCAGCGATTGAGAGGGGTGTTCTTGCGAATGCGATCGGCTAAATTAAAGTTTTAACCGGCCAAATGCCACCTTCTTCGTAAATCCGTTAGATACTTGGGTCACATTGTCGACTCTTCGGGGATTTCTACCGATCCCGCGAAGACGGACTGTGTCAGTTCATGGCCGACGCCCACGTCAGTTTCGGACGTGCGCAGTTTCATCGGTTTTGCTTCTTATTATCGCCGATTCGTTGAGCACTTCGCCACCATTGCAAAACCCTTGCACGCTCTAACGGCGAAAGGAGTGAAGTTCCGATGGGGACCGGAGGAGGAGGCTGCATTCTGCTCCCTCCGGGACGCCTTGGTGGGTGCCCCACCCTTGCGCTATCCTGACTTTGCGAGTCCCTTCTTGCTAGACACGGATGCTAGCAACACGGGCATTGGGGGGGTGCTGTCCCAAGTCGTTGGGGGAGTCGAACGGGTGGTCGCCTATGGTAGCAGGGTGTTGTCGCCGGCAGAGCAGTGCTACTGCGTCACCTGTCGCGAGCTGCTTGCCATTGTTTTTTTCGTACAACAATTCAGACCATATCTCTATGGTCGTCACTTTACGGTCCGGACGGACCACGCGGCGCTCCAGTATTCATTGCGGGTCGCCCAGCCCTCGGGCCAATTGTCACGGTGGTTGGAAGTCCTCCAGGACTATCAGTTCACGACTACATACCGTAAGGGGTTGCGACACACAAATGCCGATGCTCTGTCGCGATTGTTGCCTTGTCACAAATGTGCGTGCTTATCGGGATCGGCGCGCTGTAAACCGCCAGTCACGGAAGGTGTGGGGGCATTGGTTGCGACCGCGGGCACACCAATTGGGGATGTTCCCGCTACCCCAGGGGGTCAGGACTCGCTGCTCTCACTGTCGCTGATTGAGTGGGGCCGTCTCCAAATGGCGGACAGCTCCCTGCTAGCATTGCGCCGCAGGACGGGGGGTTCCGAAGGGGACCAGGAACGGACTGGCTCCTACGTACTTAAGCAAGGCCTGTTAATGAGATGGGACAGTTTGTCCCGGCGGCACGCGATTGTGGTGCCTTCTGCTGTGAGGGGGAAAGTTGTCTTGGCCGCACACGAACGCCTCTTGCATTTGGGAGTAAACAAAACGCTTGCCCTGCTTCAGCGTGACTATTATTGGCCGGGGATGGGGAGTGACGTGGTGAATATTCTGAAGGGATGTGTTGAGTGCGCCAGACGGAAACCACCGCCCGTGGTAGCTAATCCACCGCTGCAATCTATTCAGGTCTCGTGCACTAACGAGCTCGTTGCGCTCGATATTCTGGGGCCTTTTCCAGTCACGCCTAGGGGTAATAAGTACCTGTTGGTGGGGGTCGAATATTTTACCCGGTGGCCTATGGCGTGGCCACTCGCCAACCAGTCGGCGGCGGCTGTGACGGACGCCTTTGTCCAGGGCTACGTCCTGGACAAGGGGGCTCCCGAACGCTTGCTGACCGACCAAGGGAAAATTTTTTCAAGTAAATTGCTGCAAGAGGTGTGCGACCTGTTGGGTACTAAGAAGGTGCGTACCTCCCCGTACCACCCGCAGACGGACGAGATGGTGGAGAGACTCCACAGGACATTGACTTCTATGCTGTGCCAGCAGGTGTGTGAGGCACATGTTGATTAGGACCTGCAGGTCCCTGGGGTCCTCGCCGCGTATAGAATGGCCCCCCATGCAGCTACGGGATTTTCCCCGTTCTATCTGATGTACGGTCGGGAAGCCGACCCGCCCATGGAAACGCAGCTGGGCCTGCCCGCACCACGAACTAATTCGAAATTGGCAGAGCATATTAAATTTAATATTCATAAGCTGACGGAGGCAAGGGAGGCCGCACGGCTTAATTCGCGGGCTCGCCAAATTGCAAACGAGCGGTTGCGTGCACGGAAGGTGTCCGTGCACAACTGTGAACCAGGTGACAGGGTCTGGCTGCATTGCCCTCAGGCACCTTTGGCTACGTTGCCTAAATTGTTGAAGCCATGGCGGAGACCCGTGGAGGTCGTGCGGGTTGCACGCCCCCAGTGCGTTCAGATAAAATGGGGAAAGCGCCGTTGGTACGTCCACCCCTCCCGACTGAAACCGTTCTCACCTCCATATGGCCTCCCCTTGTGTCGTGAGGGCCGAGCATGTGACGTGACCGACGACCCTAAGGGGGAAATGTCTTTGCCTGATCCTCACATGTCTCCGCCTGATCCGCTCCCAGGTGTCTCGGAACTGACAGCTGCCGACCACCGGCGGTCCTTCCAGGCCCGATCCACGCCATCTAGAGCTGCCGGAGCCACCGGACGGTCGTCAGCGTCCCGTCCCATACGACGGACCGGCCAGACGGACTCGCGCTAGGTCGCGCTACTTTTTATGACCTACCACGTGAGGAGTCGAGGCAGCCGGAGCGCCTCGTCACTGCGTTTAGTCACAGGGACACTTGGCGCGTTCGTTTTCTGGAGTTCGCTTTTATTGTGTTGTTCGTCGGGCTGTACATTGCTTCTTATTTAAGTGTTGCTGTTGTGTTGTTGTTGTTGCGTTACGGGGCACACTGGGGGGTGGGGTTTTTTTTATTGCGTTGACGTTGGGTTGTGTTGTTGGTTAGCAGCCGGGCCGGCTGCGAGCTATGTGGGAGGGGGTGATGTAGTGGTGATACGCGCTGGGGTAGGGATCGTGTGCCAGCGCCTAGTGATTGGCTGTGTATGTGGTGACGCGCGCTGACGGTGGAGGATCAGGGGTCAGCGCGGGGTCGTGGGTTACGTGGTGCTGATTGGCTGTGTGCCGGTGACGCGCTGAGAGGGAGTGATCGGGTGGCAGCGCGGTGTGATTGGTTGAGTAGTGTTAACACGCGCTGGGGAAAACGGATCGTAGAGATAGCGCGTCGTCATTGGTTAACTAAGGAGCGATGCTCACGTCGACGTCCGCATCAGCTCCGTCTCCCGTGAGCAGGGGCTATAAAAGGGGATGCACACAGGCATAAAGGCAGTATGTAACCAGCGAAGAATGAAGACGGGGATGAAGAGATAGGGCCCTGCGGTACCTAGTCCCGCTGTCCTAACGGGACCGGGACTCTGTGTAACCCAGAGGCGAATGCATTGTGTGTAGCCATAGGCATAGGGTCTACACGAGTCGAATGCATGGTGTGTAGCCATAGGCATAGGGTCTACACGAGTCGAATGCATGGTGTGTAGCCAGAGGCATAGGGTCTACACGAGTCAAGTGCATTGTGTGTAGCCAGAGGCATAGAGTCTACACGAGTTAAGTGGAGTGTATAGTCAGAAGAATAGAGACCACACGTTGTATTGTGACACGTCAAGATTTAATAAAAGTGTGTTACCCGTCAAGAAGTTCCTGCCGTCATTTCCAATACTTCACAATGTAACAGCAATAGTGTCAGGAAGGGAGGTTGTTGATTGCCTCGCAGCTTATTGTCCCTTTGTAGTTTGTGATGGACTGTGATCCGCGCCACAGGCTCCTAGAGTTGGAGTCACGGTACAGGGCCTCCAACTTATCCCTGAATTGTCTCTTGTCCGCCTTGATGGCTTTTCGGACCGCGTATTTTGTCCTCCTGCTTTCAGTGGGGTCTCTGGATTTGCATGCTCTGTGTTGGTCCTTCAGTGCTGCTTTGACTGCCGCGTTTTTAACCCAGGGGTTGTTATTTGGGTAAGAACGGACAGTCTTGGTTGGCACAGCAACGTCCATGCAGAGCATAATATGACCTAGCAATGTCGATGCAAATTCCCCCACTCTGTTGTAGGCTGCATCCCTAAATACATCCCAATTTGTATCCTCCAGGCCATCCGCGAGTCTGTCCCTGCTTCTCTGACTAGCATTGGACTATTCTTGTAGTGGGAGCCTGTCTCTTTAAGAGAGGGCAGTACTTTGGCACCAGCAAGATGACATGGTGGTAGGACTTCCCGAGCAGTGGGCGGGGGAACGCCTTGTAGGCGTCTTTCCGCATTGAATAACAGTGATCCAAGATGGCATCTCTTCTGGAGTTAAATTTCACATTTGGTAAAACTTTGGGAGTGCACTCCTAAGGCTCGCTTCGTTAAAGTCCCCAATTACAATCACAGCAGCGTCCGGATGTTTGGTTTCCAGTGCAGAGATTGTTTTATGGAATAGGTCCATAGCCGGCGTGGAGTTGGCGCTCGGAGGGACGTACACAGTGACTGAAACAATCGCGTGAAATTATCTCGGGAGGTAATGAGGGCGGCATGATAGGATCACAAGCTCTACATCTGGTGAACATATTACACCAAGATGAGTGGATCATCACACACAATCCGCCACCTTTTGTTTCCCCACTGTCCAAAGTCCGATCGTGGTGAAAAGGAGAGAGGCCTGTTAGCCCGATGGCTGCGTCCGGGATATTTCCATTCAGCCAGCTTTCCGTGAAACACAGAACATTGCAAGTATCGTGTTTCCCGTTAGAATTCGATCCCGGCCCGCACATCATCCAACTTGTTAACAAGGCACTGTGCGTTGCACAAGAATATGCTCGGCATTGCAGTACGATGAGGATGTTTTCTATTCCTCATCTGAACGGCGACTCTTCTTCCTCGTCTCGTCTCATGGTGTTGTCTGGTAAACAAAGGGTCGTCTCAGGGCAGGCTGCATTGGGTAAGCAAGCTCTTTTTCCCGATGTCCAATAATGTTTGTCTATCATAGATAATGATCGGAGGTTTGATAGACATTCTGGTGAAAAAGTTAATCAAATAAATAAACTACAATAAATTACATTAAACGCTAAAATCTAACTGCGGTGAGAGAGCTAGCCGGGAGGCGTGCTGCTGCGTTGAGTGCTACCGCTGGGACTGCAGCCTTGCTAGAGGCTACCTGGGGGAGCTTTGTCTGTGCGTGAATAATAGGTGATGCTACTCGCTACTAAGATCACTTGCCCCTACAGCCCAGCTAGAGGCTACCTGGTGGATCTGTGTCTGTGTGTATATCATAGGTGCTGCTTCTCGCTACCACTAACAGCACTTGCCCCCACAGTCCTGCTGAGGCTACCCGGGGGATCGTCGTCTTTGTACCGAGGTGTACTGGATGTTGATGGGATCGTCGCACGACAGGGCCGAGTGGATCGCGTGGCGCTCCGCTTCCAGGCCCGGGGTGGCGCGGCCTTCCACCTCGCGCACGGACAGAGCCCCGGGACTCGGCTCCCCCTCCCCCAGCGAGATGACGACCCGGAGATCCGGGAGCCTGCCGGGGTGGGTGGGTGGTTGGGTGGGTGAGTGAGTGGGTGGGTGAGTGAGTGGGTGAGTGAGTGGGTGAGTGAGTGAGTGAGTGGGTGAGTGAGTGGGTGGTTGGGTGGGTTAGTGGTTGGGTGGGTGAGTGGGTGAGTGGTTGGGTGGGTGAGTGGGTGAGTGGTTGGGTGGGTGAGAGGTTGGGTGGGGGAGTGAGTAGGTGGGTGGGGGAGTGAGTGGGTGGGTGGGGGAGTGGGTGAGCGAGCGAGTCAGTGGGTGGTTGACTGTGCGGGAGAGGGGTGGGTGAGTAAGTTTGTGCGTGAGTGGGTGAGTCAGTTGGTGAGTGAGTGGGTGAGTCAGTGGGTTAGACAATGGGTGAGTGAGTGCGTGGGTGATTTAGTGGGTGGGTGAGTGAGTGGGTGGGTGAGTCACTTGGTGAGTGAGTGGGTGAGTAAGTGGGTGAGTCAATTGGTGAGTGAGTGCGTGGGTGAGTGAGTGGATGGGTGGGTGAGTGAGTGGATGGGTGGGTGGGTGAGTGAGTCAGTGTGTGTTTGCCTGTGTGGGTGAGTGGGTGGGTGACCGGGCAGAGTGGAGGTCTCCAGGGCAGCTGGAGGGCAGCTCAGGGCAGAGCTGAGTCAAGAGGTCTAGGTAGTTGCGACCCTTAAACTCCACCGCAGAGACGATCCCCTTGCAGCCAACCTGCACATCACCACCACAATCACCACCACAATCACCACCATCACCACCACCAAAATCACTACGACCATCATCATCGCCATCACCACGACCATCATCATCGCCATCACCATCACTACCATCACCACCATCACCACAACTATCATCATCATCACCACTACCACCACCACCATCATCCCCACCACCACTACCACCATCACCACCACCACTACCACCATCACCACCACTATCATCACCATCACCAACCTCACCACCATTACCACCCTCACCAACTCCACCACCATCACCATCACCTTATCAACATCACCACCACCAACACCACCACCACCCCCACCACCACCACCACCACCTTCATCAACACTACCACCAACATCCGCACCAAAACTACCACCATCACCACCACCACTACCACCATCACTACCACTATCATCACCACCATTATCACCAACTGCGCCACCACCGCCACCATCACCTTCTTGAGGGCGAACTCCAGCTCCTGGGGTTGGTACGCCGGGTTGATGTTCACCTGCGGCACGGACGCCAGCACCACGGTGGTTAGAGTGGTGGTGGTGGTTGTTGTCGTGGCTATAGTGGTGGTGGTGGCTATAGTGGTGGTTGTGACTGGAGTAGTGGTTGTGGCTGATGTGGAGGTGGTTTAAGCTGTAGTGGTGGTGGTTGTTGTTGTCTTGGCTGCAGTAGTGGTGGTTGTCGTAGCTATAGTAGTTGTAGCTGTAGTAGTGGTTGTGCATATAGTGGTGGTGGTTGTGGCTATAGTGGTAGTGGCTATAGTGGTGGTTGTAGTGGTGGTGGTTGTAGTGGTGGTTGTGGCTATAGTGATTGTGGTGGTAGTGGCTGTAATGGTAGTGGTTGTGGCTGAGTGGTGGTGGTAGCTGTAGTGGTGGTGGTTGTAGTGGTGGTGGTTGTGGCTATAGTGGTGGTGGTTGTGGCTATAGTGGTGGTGGTTGTGGCTATAATGGTAGTGGTGGTTGTGACTAGAGTAGTGGTTGTGGCTGATGTGGAGGTGGTTTTAGCTGTAGTGGTGGTGGTTGTCGTGGCTATAGTAGTTGTAGCTGTAGTAGTGGTTGTGCATATAGTGGTGGTGGTTGTGGCTATAGTGGTAGTGGCTGTAGTGGTGGTGGTTGTAGTGGTGGTGGTTGTAGTGGTGGTGGTGGTTGTGGCTATAGTGGTTGTGGCTATAGTGGTTGTGGCTATAGTGGTGGTGGTTGTAGTGGCTATAGTGGTTGTGGTTTTAGTGGTGGTGGTTGCGGCTATAGTGGTGGTGGTTGTGGCTATAGTGGTTGTGGCTATAGTGGTGGTGGTTGTGGCTGCTGTACCAGCACGATGCCCGCGCGTGCTGCGGCCAGCGCAGTGAGCGCCCACTCGACCGAGTTGGGGCCCCAAATCCCTAGGCGGTCGCCACGCGTCACGCCCAGAGCCAGCAGGCCCGCGGCCATGCGGTCCGCCTACAACCACAACCATCACCGCCAGAACAACCATCACCATCACAACCACCACCACCACCTCCACAATACCAATACCTGCCATTTGCCACGAAGTGACTGTGACGTCACCACGGCGCTTGTGCCAGGCCAGGTGCACTTTCAGGCCACGTGAAGAGTCGAAGGGTCGTTGACAGGTCAAGGGACAGACCCAGGTTCCATGGGTTGGCTGACTGAGATGACTGGTGGATGCATCAGCTGTATCCCCTACTGTGGCAACTTGCTGGATTTTTGCCACCCGGTGCTCCGCTCGTTGTTGTGAACGTCACTACTCTGCACACCTCCGCGTTCGCTTTTATGGTGGTGTACGTGGGCGTGTGCGGGATAACCCCGGGCGGTGGTGAGCCAGCCAGGGCATCGCTAGTCCCACCCCAATTACCCCCTCCCACTATTCCCCACTACCCACTCAACGCCCCTCTTCCCCTTCACCCCCTCCCCCTTTCAACCCCTCCCCCATCACCCCCTCCCCCGTCTCCCCCTACCCCCTCAACGCCACATCCCCTTCTCCCTTCCCCTCCTCTCCCCCCCTTTACCCCCCAATCCTCTTCCCCATGGCCCCAAACCCCCTCCCACCCTTCCCCCACTTCCCCCCTTCAACGCCCAGCCCCCCCCCCTTCGCCAGCCCCCACCACCGCACCCGCTCGAGCAGGTGGCTGTAGGTGAACTCAGCGCGCCGCTCGGCGCAGACGAGGAGCGCGCGCTGGGGCTGGGCACGCGCCGCGAGCTCGAGGCGCGCGCCCAGCGTGGTGCCCAGCAGGGGGGAGCGCGAGGCGCCGTGCACGTAGCTCCAGGTGAGGCGAGCGGGGGTCGCCCCTGCAACACCCCCCACTCCTGCGTCCTCCGCCCCCTCCTCGTTCTCGGGTCCCTGCGCCGGCCTGGGTGGCCCCACATACGCGTACAGACACACACGCAGTGACACACAGGCACACACGCAGTGACACACAGGCACACACGCAGTGACACACAGGCACACACGCAGTGACACACAGGCACACACGCAGCGACACACAGGCACACACGCAGTGACACACAGGCACACACGCAGTGACACACAGGCACACACGCAGTGACACACGAATACCGATATCAATACCTGCCATTCACGACCACGTGACGGTGACGTCACTAGTGGTCCGCCTACAACCACAACCATCACCGCCAGAACAACCATCACAACCACCACCTCCACAATACCAATACCTGCCATTTGCCAGGAAGTGACTGCGACGTCACCACGGCGCTTGTGCCAGGCCAGGTGCACTTGCAGGTCATGTGAAGTGTCGAAGGCTCGCTGACAGGAGGTCTCAGGACCCACCCAGGTACCATGGGTTGGCTGACTGAGATGACCGGTAGATGCACCACCAGCTGTACCCCCTCCTGTGCCAACTTGCTGGATTTTAGCCGCCCAGCGCTCCGCTTGTTGTTGTGAGCGTCGCTTCTTTTCCGTCCGTTGTTGCTGGAGGCCTCCAACCGAACCAAGTAGCGTCTGTCACAGCCTCCTCGATAGAGGCCGATCTTGATACCGCTGGTATCAGTTGTCGGCAAGTCCACTCAGCTCCTTATCCTCCCGTACCGCATCAGTCTGTCTCTTCTCCAGCCCATGTCGTGCCCATTTAGCCCCCTCTATGCAGCCAAACAGAAGCTGATTTAATCTAGATTTGAAGTTTTCGTGACTGCAGGGATCTATACTCTTTGGTTCTTTCGGTAAAGTCACGTAGGTATAACACAGAGGTGTGGACTCGAGTCATGTGACTTGGACTCGAGTCAGACTCGAGTCATGAATTTGATGACTTCAGACTCGACTTGGACTTGCATAACAATGACTTTGTCCCACCTCTGAGGTGTGGACTCGAGTCATGTGACTTGGACTCGAGTCAGACTCGAGTCATGAATTTGATGACTTCAGACTCGACTTGGACTTGCATAACAATGACTTTGTCCCACCTCTGGTATAACATAAACCAAAGAGTATAGAAGCTGATTGGGCATGCGGTGGCTGCATATACGGGCGACATGACCCAGCCAACGCAGCCTTGCATGCCGGAGGAGCTCACTGATGGGAATGTGTCCAGATATTTCAACGATGTGTGAGCTCCTCACACAATCCAGACCAGGTAGCTTCCACACAGCCGATGAAAAGATGATGCTGCCGAACTTATTCGGAGTGAGACCTCAAACCGGAGCCGGTCATGATCACACGGTCCAGGTATGGAAAACTCTCCACTCTCTCCACAACTGCACCATCACCAATGGGGAGCTGAGGGGGGTAGGTGTCCAGCACCACACCCGGCCGCCTTTATCTCCCCAGTGACGAGGTTTTTACGCACTGCACGAGGTACTCATTTAAAGCTGAGTCGAGCTAGGGGAGGCCCAGGACTGGTTTAGATAATCGTCACTGATGTTGGTCGTAAGCGGGAATTGAACTCGGGTTGCCGGCTCGTAGAGCAGCGTGCTAAACGCTACAGTACCACTCATTCACCACCACTAAACTTTGTTCAAAAACACAAGGCAAAGACAAGTCTGGACAGACTGTAGGGGCAAGTGCTGTTAGCGAGCACCATGAAGGCTGGCACGGCACACGAGGAGGTGAGTGGCCAACACCAGGCCCGGCCGCCTTTGTCTCCACAGTGGCGATGTTTACACGCCTTCCCAGGTACTCATTTGAGGCTGAGTCGACACACAGACACACACATAGACACACATAGTGACACACACACAGACAAATATCCTCCGTATAGCCTTAACAGACTGCTGGGGCAAGTGCTGGTAGCGAGCAGCATCTATGAACGCTGGAACGGCACACGAGGGGGTGGGTGGCCAGTACCAGACCCGGCCGCCTTTGTCTCCCTAGTGGCGATGGTTACTACACTGCACTAGGCACACATTTGAGGCCGAGTCGACCTGGGGGAGGCCCAGGACCGCTTCAGATAATCGTCACTGGTGTTGGTGGCCGTGAGTGGGAATCAAACTCGGGGGTGCGGCATTCGTAGCGCAGCGTAGCGCTAACCGCTACACCACCGCTCCCCCCACACACACAGACACACACAGACACGCAGATATTTCAAAGGTCATCGAGCGTGCCTGTAGACCCGGGGTGGGGAACCTTTTTTCTGCCAAGGGCCATTTGGATATTTATAACATCATTCGCGTGCCATACAAAATTATCAACATAAAAATGTGCTTGTTTATATTTGGTCAAACATTTAATTAACTCACCCCTAATGTGATGGTTGGAACTACTTCTCTTTGGCGAGGCGTGTGACGTTATCTGGTATTGATGATGTTGCTACTCGCAACTGCTTTTCCAGGTTTGCTCCTAGATTTATTGAATTTCGAGTCCCGCCTGCGGTTGCCTTGGCAGGGCCACACCAAATGATTTCGCGGGCCTCATACGGCCCTCGGGCCAGACGTTCCCAGAGGTCGCAACCGGGTACCCGTTACCCGTACCCTACCCGATACCCGGCGACCCTGGTGCGGCCGGGTACGGGTAGGCCGTGAGTCACTGGTGAGTAACCGTTTGTCACTCATTTCCCAACGTCTTGTCTCTTCTCACAATTCAAGTTCCTAGAATCAACCCACCCGCGCCTGCAACATGGCTTCATCCCAGAGGTCGCAATCGGCTACCCGATACCCGTACCCTACTCGATACCCGGCTACTCGTACCCGGCCGGGTATCGGGTATGGGTACGGGTACCCGTGCCCGTACCCGGCCGGGCACGGGTAGGGTACGGGTACCCCTTTGCGACCCTGGTGCGGCCGGGTACGGGTAAGGAATCAGAACCCGTTTGGGACCTCTGCCCCTGCCCGAGTGCAGAACCTGCACACGGACCCATTATCGAGTCTCGCCGATCGTCTCTACGCTCCCGCGCGTCAATGAGTCGGCTCGTGACCCCCGTGCTCTGTGGCGCATCGTGACGGGGTCCTGTTGAACACTCCGACCTCCCAGAATCAGAAACAGAAGCTGTATTCATACAGTACAACCCCCTCCTCTCGAGCACGTTAATTGGTTCCATGAGACGGGTCGCTTAGTGATTCGGTCGTTAAGCGAGTATCGGGAAATACACGTCATTAAGGATCTATATGTTCCAATAGCATTACACTACACTACGATACACTACTATACACTATCCTACTATACACTATCCTATACACTATCCTACTATACACTACACTATACACTACTATACACTATCCTACTATACACTACTATACACTACACTACTATACACTACACTGCTATACACTACACTATACACTACTATACACTATACTACTATACACTACACTACTATACACTACACTACCATACACTACACTATACACTACTATACACTACACATCTAGACACTACACTATACACTACTATACACTGCGCTACTATACACTACACTATACACTACACATCGGGCTCTATGGAGGCCCGTCGTTAAGCAATTAGTCGTTAACATGGGTGGCTGTTAAGAGGGGTTCTACTGTACTTGAGGAATCCGATGAGCTATAAAACTTTTTTTCACGTCCAGTCGGGGCACGGGGTAAGAACATTACAACAACAGACGATACAAAAACATGAGAGTGATGCAAAGTTCAAGAAAGGTAAACAAATCACCCGAACCTGTACAAATACAACGCTAAACCACCCCCATCATACCAGACAAAGCCCATGGAGGTATGAAGTTATTTTTCAGAAGCGACCTGGCCACAAATGAAACTCAACAAAGTGGCCCCATCATTTGGACATGTAGAGCGGCGAAATCATCGAAATAATCTCAATGCATGCTCTTTGTTTTTTTCGGTAAAGTCACGTATAGGTAGAAAAACAATAACAGATCGCGTCGTTTCGATCGCAACAACAAGCGACCGTCTTCAGGTGACTTTACCGAAAGAACCAAAGAGTATGGATTCCTGCAGTCACGGAAACTTCAAACCAAGAATCTCAATGCATTTTTTCTAAATGTGGAGGCAAAACCCAGAGGACGCGCAGACAAAATCCACACGACCACGGGGAGAGAGGGAGAGAGACATAAAAACCCCAAATATACAGCAGGCGTCAGAGTCGGGATCGAACCCCTGACCTCCTGCACACCAGGCAAGGAAGATTACCGTAACTTAAAACACATTCCTGCGGAGGGAGCTGGTAGGAACGTTGGGTTGCTCGGTCAATGGCCAGGGTCAACGGCGGCGTGGTGTATTCCGCAAATATGGCCGACTGTGAGGGCGAGCACAAGCCGGCGTGAGTAGGTTAAACGTTGAGTTTTAGAAGGGCACCATGGGGTTACCAGCCCCTCCCCACCCAGCCCCACCCCTCCCACCCCCCACCCAGCCCCACCCTCCCCACCCAGCCCCTCCCCACCCTCCCCCTCTGACTGTGGAGACCGCTGGGATGCTCGTCCACGCATTAATCGTCAGCTGCGTGGACTACTGCGACAACAGCCTTATCGGCTGTGCCATCGCTGTCCACCTGCGGCCACTCCAGTCGGTGTTAAATGCTGCAGCTCGTCCGATAGTTAGGACACAGTAATATGGTCCGATCACGAGTTTCATACGTGATAATTACAACCGACATCTTCAGGCGGACAGCCAGATTTGTGGCGATCTAACCCCCCCCCCCCCACCAAAAAAAGACCTGTATTATGGATACACAAAGATAGCTCGTCGAGTCAGAGCAAACAGACAGCCTCGTCCAGCCAGAGACGCAGATACAAAGGTCTCCTCCCATATAACTCCTCGGTTATGCACAAGTCAAAGGCAAAGCACCCCCCGTACAGCCTCTAACAGACTGTTGCGGCAAGTGCTGTTAGTGAGCAGCACCTACGAAGGTCGACACGGCACACGCGGGGGTGGTGTGGGCTGCACCACGCCTGCCCAGCCGCCTTTG